AGGTGTTGAATACACAAATACTGACTTAATGAAAAATTATGTGAGTATCGCTTGCAATGCTTCAGAGATTTTGCTAGGAGATCTGTAATGCAGAATTTTCTTGTGAATCTGAGGAAACATTAAAGAGCTTTGAAGGACTTCAGTTTTCATAGCCCTTTAGAGCTGTTTAGGCAGAAAAGCAGTCACACGTTACAGTGAGAAGAGAAAAAAAATAAAAACACTTTTAGGAAAGGGTCTAGCTGCTTTGACATCTTCACATGCTTTACAGTTACAGCTGCAGTGTTTGGCATGGGGAATATCAGTAAATATTTCTTTCTCTAAATATTAGTATTGATCTTAAAGCCAGTTTGCATCACAGGAGAGGGTGTACACCACTCTCCTTGCTGCTGCTGTCCCATCTTTCGGAGGAGGTGTTGACAGTGGGGAATGACCTCACTTTTAGCCTCTGGAGCATCTTTTGTACAGGGCAGCAGGACCTCTTAAAGACTCCTTACAAAGCAAAGTTACTCCTTAAAAGTGTATTTCTCTGATAAAGCTGTGATATCCTTTGTCTGTGAATATTCTTTTAGGGAAAAAGAGGTTTTGTATGAAATAAAGTTAGCATTAAATTTATCTTAGACATAGAGTAAATTTTAATTTTGATTGCTGTGTGTTTTAATATGGACAATGTCCTGTTTTCCTAGGAAGGTAGACTACAATTATAACTCCAAAGAAAAAAACAATCCTTAAAACGAAACAAAACAAACAAACGAAAGTAGCATATTTTATAGAGTACTGATGTCATATATGGAAATTTATATCTTCATGGTGATTTATAAACACAAAATTATTATTATTGCGTGCAGCATGCCTTTGTGGTAGGTGATATTAATAACAGCAGATTATTCAGCAAAGTCTTATGGAATGTAGGTGGTCAGTTAGAACACTCTGCTCAATTTAGCAAGTTTTGTTCCCAGCTTTTATATGTTACTTCAACTCCACACCTTTCATCAGTTTCTGACTCTCTGAGATGGCCAGGGGTGAAGGTCCTTGGCATAACCGTGTGGATCTTTGCATAGTAGAGTTTTATGACTTAATTCACTTTCTCTCCATCATCTGCCTTAATAAAAAAAAAAAAAAAAAAGAACAAAAAACCACACCAAAAAAAAAAAAAAAGTGAGTTGGGAAGTGAAGGCTCATCCAACCAAAGTTTGGAGAAAAAGAGAGGTAAAAATAAGATGACTCATTGCCCTCCCTATAAAGAAAGGTAGGCTAAATTTTAGTTTCACCTTGGAGAACTCCAGCAGGATTTCCTGCACGTGGTAGGATCTAGTCCCGCGTTTATGTTATTCAGAGATATTTACAAAGTAAAATGGAGTTTAAGAACACTTTAAAGAAGTGACATCTCCAGTGATGTCACATTTTCTTTAAGAAATTTGAGGCAGTAAGAAAATTATAAGGAGGCTAAATTTATAAGAAACAAGAACTGAAGCTTTTTAAAAGGATACAGTGGGGAAAATAATCAGTTCTGTGGGGTTTTGCTCAGTATCTCTAATCTTCCTGCTTCACCCCTCACTTATCACTGAGATGTTGTCCAACTCCGCATTTTAATCAGAATTTATAAAAATGAGTTCCAATTTTACATTTGCCATCATTTCACTTTAACAATTAAACACCAGTTTGAAGAGAAACTAATCTCAGTATTTTGTGACTGCATATCTTAATTTGTTTATGTCTGAACTCAGTCTTGGAAAGCTTTTTGTTGCATAAAGAGTATTTTATATTAAGTCGATAGTTGCACTAAAAAAAATAAATTAAATAAACGGTGACACATATATCACTTGGAATTACACCATATTTTTATACGAAATACTCAAGGAAATTAACAGAAGCATTATGCCTTTAAATGGCAGGGATGAACTATCTTTTAAAATAGTGATGTTCATTATGATAAGGTAAAATAGTCTTAGCTCCAGAATGTGCTAACTGTTCTGGATACTTTTTTATTAATTACATAACTGTTGCATGTAACCAGAAATTAATGCAGACTTTATTCTGGTATTCTTAGGAGATCAGAGTTCCTTTTTTAGGTAGGTTTATTAGAGCTGTATTTTAGAGTCATATTCTGGATAAGTGAAAGGAGTGAGTGAGTTTTTGAAGTTAGTTTTGCATTTGTCACTTCCACAGAAAGAAAACTATAAAAATATTATCCCAAAGTCCAGAAAAAAGGACTTCATTCTTTGATGGACTTATAAGGCTGTCCTCAGTGGACTTCTTAGTGTTCCTCCTTATTTATATTTGTGTGCTTAGGAAATTAATCAGATTAAAAATCCCAACTCAGATACCTCCTGCACACTGTAATTGAAAACTAAAAAACAAAACCAAAAACAAACAAAAACCCCACAAACAAACAAAAATGTACCAAAAAAAACCCCAAAATACTTTGGCACGTAGCATATTTACTTATGTGTTTATGTTTTAATGCAAAGAATTTAAAAATTCTCTGTTCTTTCACTGTTTCTCTCACTTTTTTTTTTGCTTTACCTGAATGAGTTGGTGTGATTGAGATAAGTCATATGCATGCCTAGAATCCTGTGGAGGAAACAGATCATCTCAAATGGAGAATATAAAGCAAATTGGAAACTAGATAAACACACTCAGGAGACAAGTATGTATGTATACCTGTATGTGGATTAGTCACATGATGCTACTATACATATGTATGTGTCTATAAGTGTGTATGTACAGATCCAGAGAGAGAGAGACGGAGGGCACGGTCACCAGTGTTCCTGGGGCCCACCAACATCACAAGAGCAAATACTGTTACTGTAACCATATCAAGACAAAAACCTGCATGATCAGTGCATTTCCTGATCTGTAACTATCTGAGTGTCTCAGCAGCTACACAGCTGATTTTCTCCTGGAACAAATTCATGTTTGTCGGAAGTTAAAATCTGCTTAAAAACTTGCTGAGGTCAAAAGGATCCCAAACGTGAAGATTTGACTGCAGGATCAGGGCCTAAAGATTTTGCAGTGGCCCTTTGGGCAAGCCAGGACAGACTAGCTACCAAATCCTTGGAAAAAGGTGGCAGAAATCTGTCATAACACTGAACTTGGAACCATCAGAATTAATGGACAACCCATTCTCATTCAACTCAAACTTCTCACGCTGATGTTCTTGCTTTATACACCTGATTTGACCAACACCAGTAAAAAAGGTCTAAAAAACTGGTAGAAGATACTATAAAATTAAGTATCAAAGGGCAATTGACTAGCAGCAGATACTATAAAATTATATATCAAGGAAAGCAGTAATATCCTGTCAGCAAGCCTGAGCATAGGAACACATTGTGTTCACAGGCCTAAAGGGGCGAGGAGTAAAATTACCTTAGTTTGGGATATTTTTACCCAATCTCCTTAGAAATAAAAAAGCAAAAAGTCAAAGTTAGATTTTTATTTAAGAGAAAAGTTAATCATAGGCTTACTGTTCAAGTTCACCAAAGCAACAGTATGTTATAAAAATCAATGCCATCATTTAACCCTTCATTTGATAATGTTTTAGGCTTTCAGAAAGTTGCCTGTCTTGTTCACAAAAAAAAAAAAAAAAAAAAAAAAAAAAAAAAAAAAAAAAAAAAAA